ATTTTTAAAGTTTCATATTAGCCCTTGACTTTATGTGGTCCGGATCCCTGGGTATGTGTCCCGCTAGACGACACTGCATGTAGCGTTAGGAAATTTTGTGATTTCCATGTGATTTACACCGCAATATACAGTTTTAAGTTCATTTCCGTTATTGTCTTGTCATCTTAAATGTAAAATTCAACCTATTTATTTTTGATGAGAATCTTTAAAGTGATGTATCTATGTAGCCTCGAACGTTGTGAACGTTTTGCTCATAGATGAAATGAAACTATTAAGGTTATCCAAACGACCCACTTAAATATCTTATGGTTCAACAAGTCCACAATATGATAATTATACTTCCATATTTATTTGATTTGTATCGCATGGAATGTTTTTATAACTCCATTATATTTTCTAGAGCTTACTTTCGTCTATTATCCTAGCCGCTGTCTTCGATCGTCTTCCGATAAAATATAATTAAATTAAATACAGTAAGTCAATAAAGTGCCGAAGACAATCCTAACCAATTCTACTTCGCAGACGACTTACTATGTTACGGTACAATCCATGTGGAACCATCTACTATACCCCGTGAAATAACATGCCTCTATTTTTAGACAGTTCTAATCCACTAGAAAAACTATTTTATTCATATTCCTCATACATACATATCAGACCACCCATGGTAAAACATTATTATTTCATTATATTTATTATTATTATTATTATTATTATTATTATTATTATTATTATTATTATTATTATTATTATTATCATTATTATTATTATTATTATTTTCATTATTATTATTATTATTAAACGATATTGTTAATATTAGCATTAGTAGTAGTGTTAGTTGAGAACATTATCTAACAGCCTTTCTACATTGCGAAAGACATGTAGTGACACAGCCAGAAACAGTGAAGACCAACGATCGCTGGTTAATTGGCATGGCACCCAGTGACAATAACATTAAAACAGCTAATTACTTTTACATTTAAATCTAAGATGACTATGAACACATTAGGTATCTATTCAGGAAAAGGGGGCATTACAAATCTGTGCCAATTATCTTGGTTTGGGAATTCAGCACTCTAGTAACACAATTTAGCGTTAATTAACCTTTATGTCTAGATCATCAAGCTCATATTTTCCGTGTTTCTCCCTGTCGTCTTTATGCCTGCAGAGAAAGTTTCACTTTCATTTTCATCAGCCAAGTTTGGGATAATAACGTGTATAAGGACACACTATCAACATTCGTAGTTACTTTGAATTCAATAAATCAAGTTTAATTAGCAATTAATAAGCATCCTAAGGAGCGTAAACGCTCCGTAACAAGGCTTGACGTTATTCAGTGATGTAATTTAGTGAATCCAAGTGCATATATTAAGATAAAAATTTCAAGACACGAACACTCAATTCAAATTTAATACTAGCTGTTAAAAAACATGTCTTTCAAAATGTTCACACTATTTAGAGCATCAAATTCGGAACTAGTATGAATTGCTGAATTCACACTTTTATGTGAAGAATGTGTTTTTTGAAAAGTATGTTAAACATAATATCCAAGATAGTGCTTTAAATGATGTCAGAATTATTATATTAATTTGCATTTGTAATGTTATTTAATTTCAGTTAAATAATATTTTCTTGCGCTGAGTACAGGAAGGGCTTTACTTTGTGCTGGTCTACCATGTCATTGTACCTTAACAATGACTAGTTGTAATAACGATATCGCACTTCGGAAAAATCCTTAGCATTAACAATATTATCTTATATCCCAATCTATATTTTTTTTTCTGTCCACCAGATGGGGAATATATTCATGTAAAAGTAGGCATTTGGTCCTTTTACAAACTTCGAAAACTCAGTGCATCAAAAAATGATGTCTCTTTGAAAGCAATTCATTGTGTCACTAAATATAGAAGGTGGTTAATATAGCCGTTACCAAATTGAATTTACTTGTTATTTTGACTTAGCAGACTACAATATCGATTTCATATTGCACTCATCTCATCGTATAGCAGAATTCCACTCATAACATAATTCCGAGTACCACTAACTACAATGTCTCGATCCCAAAATACGCATCCCATGTCTTAAACCCAATTCCCATTCATCGCGTGTACAGGTCCCCATCAGGGCCGGCGGAACGTTTTTTCAAATTGGGGGGGGGGGCACTTATAAGATGAATGGGAATATGAATAATGCAGATCTGGAATCAAATCCAAAAAACGAAAGGGGATTCCTAGATGGCAGGGAAATGAGCTTTTCCGGTGTCTTAATTACTTTTAAGTTCTTTCAAGATTCAAGATTTACCCCTCTTGAAAAGGGTCAGGTAATTTTTCCCATTGTTATTACAGTAAATATGCCTTATGTGTGTATACATACGAAAAAATAAAAAAATATCGGTAGTTGCATACGATTTTTTTCCCCACGAATCGATAAATCCCAAAAAGAAAGGGGGGGTTCGGGGGTTCTCTCCCGGGAAAATATTTATTCCTAGAAGGCGGGAAATGAGTTTTCCCGACTTCTAAGCTGGCTTTGAATTACTTCTTAAAAATTCAAGGTTTTCCCCTCTTGAAAATTATTATAATGAATCAATGAACTCAGAGGTTCAGGTTCGGCCCAGGAAATTGTTTATTTCTAAATGGTGGGAAATGAGCTTTCCCGACTTCTGAAGTATCTTTTGGCGATTTTAATTTAAGTTCTTCAAAATTCAAGGTTTCCTCTCTTGAAAACGGTCAGGTACTGTTAATTTTTTCTACTTGTTATTACAGTAGATAGGCTGGTGTGTATACATACATAACAAAAAAATTGAGTAGTTGCATACGATTTTTTTTTCCCATGAATCGATCGCAAAATGATGGAGGCTCTTATACACATCTATGGAGGGGGGGGGGTGGGGTTTTCCCCCGGGAAAATTTTGATTCTTCGGTGGTGGGAAATGAGCTTTCCCGACTTCTGAAGTATCTTTTAGCGACTTTAATTTAAGTTCTTCAAAACTCCAGGTTTTCCCCTCTTGAAAACTGTCAGGTAAATTGTTCTACTTGTTATTACAGTAGATAGGCCGGTGTGTATACATACATCAAAATATATCTCCCCCGGGAAAATTTTGATTCCTAGAAGGCGGGAAATGAGCTTTCCCGACTTCTAAGTTGTCTTTTAATTACTTTTAAGTTCTTCAAAATTCAAGGTTTTTCCCTCTTGAAAGTTATTGTATTGAATCAATGAACCCCAAAGAAAAGGGGGTCCGGGTTCCCCCTGGAAAATTTTGATTTCTAGAAGGCGAGAAATGAGCCTTCCTGACTTCTGAAATGTCTTTTAAATAACTTTTTAAGTTCTTCAAAATTCAAGCTTTTCCCCTCTTGAAAACGGTCAGGTAAATTTTTCTTATTTTTTATTTTATGTGTGTATACATAGGCCTACATAAACAAATGAGTATGGTTGCATGCTTTCCATGAATCGATAAATCCCAAAAAGAAAGGGTGGTCCGGGGGTTCTACCCCGGGAAAATGTTAAATCCTAGATGGCGGGAAATGAGCTTTCTCGTCACTTGAAGTGTGTTTTAATAACTTTTATATTCTTCAAAATTCTAATTTTCTTATTGTAACAAAAAAAAATTTAAAAAAAAAAAAATTCAGCTTATGGGTCCTGAAAAAGTAGGTCTAGAATTCTTTTTTTTTGTTGCCCAAGGGAGGGGTCAGGACCCATGACCCCCTCCCACAGATCCGCTAATGTGAATTGCGAGAATATGTAACTCGGTCGGGGACTGGATAAACATTCTCTTTCCCATCCTTCTCCTTCTTCCCTTTTTCTTTTCTTGCATTTCTTTCCGATCATACAAAAATCTCCAGACATATATATATTTTTTGCCAAAAAGTGGGGGAGCCCGGGTCCCCCGGCCCCCGGTTCCGTCGACCATGCCCATTACAAACCGTCCTATGTCTCAACCTCATCACCATTCATTCACATCTTCGTAGTTCCTTAGGCCTATAATTCACTAATATTTCTTTCTCTCCAATATCACCTTGAACTTATCAATCTTAATCTCTTCATTAACATATACAAACATTAATCTCCTATAAATTGCAATCTCTGAGCAGTCCTTCGGGATAAAAAACAATAGAGAGAGAAAGCATGAAATACAGTTTTAGCCTTTCCAGCTAAATGAGGATTAACATTGAGGTAGAGAAGGACCTTACGTATAAAATTGTTTCCGATAAACTATCTAAATTTGACCATTCCATCCACTTACAACCAAGGGTTTTCGGTGTTTCTAGAGAAAAAAGCCGTTTTCTAATTTCGATGATGGACAATGTACAAAATATGTGGACAGAAGGGAGTATCTGGAGATACACTTATTTTGTGTATGTGTCAGTATTTCGTCAAAAAACTAGTGGATGGAGACCAATAATGTTTATGTGTGTCGTAGAGTGTTGTGTATTTGTTTGTTGCGAAAATATATTTATTACTCACCAGTATTATGATGTCTTGCCAGTTCTTTGAGAGTAGTTGGAATGCTTCGTCGATTCGACAAACTCCATCATCGGGTGGTATACCAGCTACAAAATCTTCAAGTCTCTCCTAAATAGATCCAATAAATAAATTGTTGTAATCATATTTTACTAGATACTTTAAAGTACATATTATTCTAATAACACTTTAAAGTACATATTCCTAATTCTAACGTGAATTACTCCTATTATGAACTATTATTATTATTATTATTATTATTATTATTATTATTATTATTATTATTATTATTATTATTGTTATTATTATTATTATTATTATTATTATTATTATTATTATTTCTAAAATGGCGTCGCCATCATGGCGCGTGTTAAAAAAACAGCATTTACATTTGGCGCAACATTGACACATGACGTTCTATGTTATGTTCTCGTCATACTTCGGTGAGGCCGAGTGGATAATTTATTGTCAAAGCTAAAAATACACAGATTAGAAATTAGGCTGATCTTAAATACAAAATAATAATACAATGAATAATGAAAGTGTGCCTACAGGGCTCATATTTAAAATTGAGAAAGGGGAAAATGAGGAAAATATTACTTTTTCCATAGTTAATTAAAACTAATTTCAATGTTTTTCAAAGGAGTTGAAAAAATATATATAAAATATATATAAAATCAAGAATTCAAAGATTAAAAAATAGGGTCTAAATGAAGTTAGACATTACATATCATAATCATTATCATTATCTCTCTTTGAATTATTATTATAATAATTAACAATAAGCTTACTTTTTTTCTTATTGTCTTTACATTTTCATTCATACATATTCTGAAGCAAATAGTTTACGATAATTCGGCAATTACATTAATTAGGAATTACTGGTGAGAGAGTTTAAGGAATACCAAATAACGTATTAGTTTACTTACTGGGAGGGTTTCTTGGTATTCGTCTGCGGATACTCTTTTTCCAACTGAAAAAAAATGAAAAAAAAAATACATTTTTAATTACAAAGACAATTATAGAATTTGAAACTTAAAAATACTATTGTCACTTGCCAGCTCATTGTGTTTTTTGACACGATACTTGCATATGAATAATTAAACAGAAAGAAATTGAAGTATGACGTCAGTGTTGTATGTTATTATGTTTTTATGTTATTTCAAATGTTACTTTCAGTACTGAGAATGAGGTATTTTGTTTGCTTCTTGTACTTAAGGCCACGCTTCGAATAACCTTCTCCTCAGAGAATTGGCTTGGATAGGAGACATGTGGTGTAATTACCCATTCATTTTTTTCATAGTTTTATTTACTATTTAAGAATTGGAATCACAATACTGTAAATACATAATTGAGGGCAAATAATTAAATTCTGAAGCCTGTAGCACCCGGTAGACATACAGTTGTAACAATTCATTATGCCAACCTAGCAAAACTCTGTGCAATCAAGTAAGTTGGTCAAATATGTAAAATTTCCGGGGCAATACATATGATACAACATAAATATCAACACCATTTGAAAAATCAGAAAAAGTTAAACAAGAGGAACTGGTTAAAATATTAACTTAAAAGGCCAACTATTAAACTGCCACGGGTCCGCAGGATGAGATCATGAGATTAAGAGCAAATGTATTATTTATATGTAATATCATGAAATAGTGGGGTAGCGTTCTTGTGCTGAAGGCCCGGTTAAGGAATTAATATACTTCGAATAACCATGGAAGAGGAATAACCTTCTCCACAGAGAAATTGGACGGGATAGTAGACATTTTTTGCAATGGCCCAGCCAAAGTATATAATTACAAATTTTAAATTTGGGATAATGTCAAAAATTAAATAAATTTTTAAAAATTCAGACAAAAAATGAACGTACAAGAATCCCAATAACTATAAATACATAAATTGGGGGCTAACCATTAAATTCTGTTAGGACCAGGTAGGACATACAGTGGTTATAATTCATTATGTCAACCTAGTAAGATAATGTAAGGTCAAATTAGTTGGCCAAAGTATGTAAATTTAAGTTGAAATTTCCGGAACAATAAGACAAAAATACCAACACTATTTGAAAAATCAGAAATGATAAACAAGAGAAGGAACAGGGTTAAATATTAAATTAAAAGCCCAAATATTAAACTGTTACGGTTCCACAGGATGGGATCATGAGAATTAAAGGAAAATGTGAGAAAAGATATATTATCATGAAATTGTGGGCTAGCCGTGTTAGTCTGAACTATACAAATAGTAAAAATACAGACAGTACGTTTAAGGCTAACGAATGCAAATCAATGAATATTTGAGGTATTTGTTAGTCTAGTGCTGCCTATCTTTTACTGTTCATATGTAATATGGAATGTGGTTATTCACAACCTAGTCTTTCTTACTCTGTAATACTTTGTCTTTACTTCTCTAATTTTGACGCTGACATTTAGTAGTAGGCCTATGTGATCAATGATATGTTTGAGTTTATAGCCCCACCCATCGCCCGAAAATCTAAACCAAATACATTACAAATAGAGCGTATAAAACATTATTAATTTTGTACACACTTTTAAATAATTATTATTCTTCAGTTGAAAATAATGAAGTACAATCTGAGAATAAAGTTCATTTGTAGGTGGGCAAACGGTTGTTAATTTGGTAATTTATGGAACTATTAATAGAATCAGAGCTAACATTGTTCATGATTTATTGCGTCGCAGCTAATTGGAATTATAACTGGGATGTACAGCAAAAATTCGGGCTTATGACACTATCATGAGAATTGTGATATCTAGATATGTGTAATGAATAAAGCATTGAAAACCGCCTTCAGCAACAGACCCTATGCTGTTGATGTACCCACGCTTCTCGACAAAAAGACAAAAAACAAAAGACAATAAACAAAAAACAAATTTCGATTTTAGAAAATGGCAGTTAAGTATACTCTCTGTATGTTTCTCTTTTAGCAATATTACCAGCACCGTGTACCAATTGCCAATTAGGCAATACAATTTATCAATTTTCTTCTTTTTTTTTTTTTTTTATCGAAGACGGGTTGTTTATTAATATCGATATACATCGGCCATATAGTATCAAAACTCAATAAATATATAAACATACTTATTTAATAAATTACATATTACATATGGGTGGCGTTTGGAATCTTAAAAAAATACACAAAAAAATCAATTAATTTTTAAACACTTTCTTACGTATTCTGTTCTACTGTGTTCAATTCATTTTTAAAGCGCAATTTATAATGAGTTTACGTCATACACTAGCCGGGCGCGTAAATTTGGCTCTGCGTTGCGTCACAACCAAACAAAAGGCGAATAGCCTGGGACAAAAATACATATAAAATAAAGGCTAAAACATTTCATTTCAGACAGTCTCTTTAAATAAGTACCGTAACTGAAAGAGGATTTTATTACATTGATCGAAATTGTGCCTGGTAGTATAACGATAATATAATAATAAATTAATTGATGTATATACACGTTCGAGTTTCTTGTTATCGGTATGCAGCGCATTCTAATCAATGTATTAAATTTCGCGTTAGTGTTTGTATGTAAAACGATGGTACCAACATCTAATAAAGTTGTGTAATAGGATAACGAGCGCGTCATTAACATTTTCTTCTATTGTTGTTTGCTACATTCGGACAACAGCTGATGGTTTATTAAGATCCTTACGTGTGAGATTTTACAACTTATATATAGATTGATTTTCAAAGAGAGAAGCTGTTTACTCAGATAGCAATAGACGTGCATCAACATCATAATATATATGTATAAACAGATGATGTTTAGCCTAATAAAATATATTCATATTAAAACCTTTGTTATAGCCTTTCGGTTTTCTATTGACACTTTCTTCTAATGCAACATATGTCTACTGTGCATACATAATCATCTAGGCGTTTCTTACATAAGTAAGTTGGAACTAATAATACACTGGAACTTAAACCTAATAATAATAATAATAATAATAATAATAATAATAATAATAATAATAATAATAATAATAGCAAACACAATATTACGAATATAATGACTATGATGATGAAATAATAGAATATAAAAATATTAATGAGAACAATAATAAATAATTAGCCTACCATGTCGATAAGGATTGAGATCACGAAGGTAATGATAATGACAATTATAATGTTAATGATAATTAAATTAACAATGTTAATAATAATTAACATTAATTAAAAAGTAATAATAATAGGTCTAATAATAAAAAAAATGATAAAAATATTAATAATTAATACAACTGTATTGCTAATAACAACAGTATTATTATAACTTCTTTCAGCACGAATATCTTGATCTTAATAATCTGACTTACGCCAGAGTTCAATTAACACAAGTGGTAAATTCATTCGCGTTTAAACGCATCAGTCAACATAAAGCAATACTAGACTATTGGGACATAATTAAAAGGCAATTATGCGACTAATTATTCTCTAAAGATGCTTATAGATGTATTACTGATATTATTATTGATATAGGATATACTGAATCAGTAAAATCCTTAGAAATATATGTATATATACTTATATAACTAATTTATATATATATATATTATATATATAGGCCTGGGATATATATATATATATATATATATATATATATATATATATAGGCCTACATGTACTGCGATTCAAAGAGATACATGATTTTCCGATAGATTTACTTATATAAACGGACTGGCATAGTTCCTTATAGAAGCTTTACATTATTTATCTAGATATTTGAAGATAAAGATTAGAGCTCTTTAATGCGACTTTGTGTAGAGATCGTGTAGGCTTAGATACATAAACCTATCAGTCATTGAGGCGACTTCAAGGGCTAAAGCGTAAGTAGATTTGAACGAGCCTATGCATTTTAAAAATTCATTGACAGTTATAAATACATCCCCCAAACCGATTGTGGAAGCTATGAACATATACTTACATACTGTCCTCCTTCCGGATGTCGTTGATACAAAACACACTGCAAGAACTAATGAAAGACAAAGCCAACTAAAGGCTTGTCTATTTACCCTCGATGAGGTGGTCATTATTTTATCGAGATTATGAATTGTTGATTAAATGTGTCTTCCAAAAAATGTTGAGAGAGCCGGAGAAAGTTCTGTTCCGCGGTAACAGTATAGATATGGTAGGTAAGCCTACTATTTGTAGAATTTATAGAAGGAAAAACGGAAACAAGGCATTCACAACTGAATATTTATCACCAGTTTGACATTGACGACGCTATTGGTCATCATTTTTTGGTAACTATTGGCGCTGTTACAGACATGTTCTGGTCGAGTGATTACAAGTTAGTTGTAAAAAATAATTAAATGCGTCACGATATTGGCACAACTTTTCAGTCGCATAACACAACACAATGTTGCGGCTTATACACTAGCAGTCTAGCACGTTGCTACAAAACGGATTTTAAATGTGATACTCAGCTTATCATTACTTGATTCAACAACTCATCGAAGACAGCAAACAGAGCAAAAACAATTTTATTTGGTTATAAGCTCCAGAACCATTGCTAGATTAATAATCACCATGCATTTTCTCAAAGAGATTCTAAATAGATATAATAATAATAATATCAGTTTTGAAAACAGTTGATAATAATAATAATAATAATAATAATAATAATAATAATAATAATAATAATAATAATAATAATAATAAATATTTAGAAAATAATATAAAAATAAGTTTGTAAAGTCTTAACTAAATATCAATTTAGATTTAAATGACTGCGTTAAAATTATTCAATATAAAATATTCAAATCAAAAAGCACGATTGACGAAGGACTAATTATAGTTGCCATGAATACTCAATTGATACCAATGATAAAACAGATAGAACATAGTTACCCAGCTATCACTAGGTGAGATTTTAATTCTCTAATGCACATTTCGGAGTCAGCTTTCATTGTTAATTTATAACGTTATTTGCAAAGCAAACGTGGAGTGAAATG